CTCGAACCCGCCACCTTAGGTGTACGTGGCTGGCGCCCTAGCCGGTTGAGCTATAGGCGCCGAGCCAACAGTCATATCTTTAAAAGTGGCATTTCTTATATGCTTTGCACTAGCTCACTGATTTTCAACTGGTGTGCCTTAAGAGGATCGTAGGTGTGCCACAAAAAAATGTTTTTTTGAGACAGAGTTGTCTTATGTCACCCTCGGTAGAGTGCTGTGGCATCACAGTTCACAGCAACCTCAAACTCTTGGCCTAAAGCGATTCTCTTACCTCAGCCTCCCAAGTAGCCGGGACTACAGGCGCCCACCACAAGGCCCGGCCATTTTTTTTGTTGTTGTTGCAGTTGTCATTGTTGTTTAGCTGGCTAAGGCTGGGTTTGAACCTTCTACCCTTGGTACATGTGGCTGGAGCCAAAACCACTGTGCTACTGGTGCCAAGCCAGCCACAGAATTTTTTGAAGATCATTAATAAATTATTTTTGAAACAAGTTCAAAGCACAGTAAGTACATTCTTTTTTTTACTCTCTCTTTTTTTAAATCAACATAATTTAAATGTGCCGCAGAAGTTTAACAAGTGTGCCATGAGAAAAAAAAAAAGGTTGAAAAACACTGCACTAGCTAGTTTTCAATGCAGAGGTTTACCAAGTAATGCCACTTTCCGACTAAGCTTTCAAAAGCCATCAACCCTTGCTGTAAGCCCTGGCAACAGCCTTCTGCACAAATGTTCAGAACCCAACCAACCATGGGGGAAACACCTTGGCATAAGGATCAAACTAGGTCAGTCACCAACCAGTGCTGGGGTCTCTGTGCACAGAGAGCTCTGTCCCAGGCAGAGAGTGCTGCCAAGGTAAAAAACTGGGTGGTCCTTCACTTTCAACTTGGTCTTAAAGTATATTCAAAGGGATTTCAGTAGAACATTAACTTTCAAGCTACTAGAAACAAGTGATTCCTTTCCCCTCTCTTTTTCTTTATCTCTTTCCCCCTCTCCCCGCTCCCTCTCCCCACCCCCCTTCTCCTCTCTGTCTCCCCCTCCCTCTCCCCCCACCCCCCTCTGTCTCCCTCTCTCAAGAGACAGCATCTGGCTCTGTCATCCAGGCTGGAGTCAGTGGTCAAACTCCTGGGCTCAAGTGATCCTTCTCAGCCAACCAAGTAGCTGTGACTATAGGCACATACTACCATCCCTGGCTAGATTTTACTTAATTATTTTATTTTATTTTTGAGACAGAGTCTTACTTTGTGCGCCCTTGGTAGAGTACGGTGAGGGCATAGTCACAGCAACCTCACACTCTTGAGCTCAAGCCAGTCTCTTGGCTCAGCCTCCCCAGTAAGCTGGGACTAGAGACGCCTCCACAACGATAGGCTATTTTTAGAGAAGGCCTCTCACTCTTTGCTCAGTCTGGTCTAGAAATCATCCCCGGCTAGCTTTTAAATACTTTTTTTTGTAGAGATGGGTTCTTTATGTTGCCCAGGCTGGTCTCCAACTACTGGATTCAAGTGATCCTCTCACCTCAGCCTCCCAAAGAAGTGGAATTACAAGTGTGAGCCCTTGTGCCTGGCCAAGTGACTCCTTTTTTCCTACTAACGGAAATCTCTCTACTTTCTCAAGAAAATTCAATGATCTGCTTAATTTCTCCAGCAATTAGTGGATTATTACGAGTCAAATCAGTGAAGACAGCCAGCACATCCCATTATTATTTATATTCCCATCAGTGGCTCCTTTATCCCTCTGGGACAGGGGACTACAAAACTTGACAATGACTACATTGTGGCTACCGGAAGTTGAGAACTGTGCCATTTCACGGGTCCCTGGGTGCGCTCCTGTGGACAGCACGGGTGGGAGCGCACCTGGGGGGAGAGCAGCTCGGGAGCACGGGGCTGTCCCGTCATTGCTCTGGGGTCCGTGCCTCCCAGGGTGGCTGAGTCAAGACCGTGGGGAGGAGGCGTCGGCTCCTGGAGTTCACGTCTACAGCACAGAGCGCCGACCCCCTTCCCCATTTTCCTCATCTCGGTCACCACACTCAGTAGCTCAGGCCTAAACCCAGCAGCCGGCCTTGACTCCTCTTTCCCTTACTTCTCCAGTCCAACCTGTCACGAGTCGGTCGGCCCCACCTTGGAGGGAGCCCCCTCTCTGAGATGGGGACAGAGTCCAGCCCGGCGGCTGCCCCTCCGCCTGGAAACGCCCCCTACGCCCCTTCCCATGTTTGCGTCGCTCCTGCCCCTGGAGGTCGTTCTCCCCACCGCTGCTCGAGGGATTTCCCCCCCCAAATAAATCAGATCTTCCACTCGGAGCCTGACACTCTCGGGGAACTTCCCCCAGTAACTACAGCAGAGTCGCGGCCGCCCTGCTCGGACCCGACTCCTCTGGGGTGAGTCCCCTGCCTGGGTCCCACAGACCCATTTCAGGTTGCATCCTAGCCTGGACCCTGCCTCGGGGCCTCTGCCCTCCGCCAGTCTGCCGGGCTGGTCACGCTCCCTCTGTGCTGTCACCACGAGATCTTTCTCATTACCCACGTTTTCCTTCATCGCACTAATCATTCTCCGAAATGACTGCATTTATATCTTATTTACAGCGGGCTGTCCATTGTCCGTCCTCCCTAACTAGAACGTAAGCTTTAGGAGAGACCAAAGGGACCTCAGTTTCCTCCTCGCTGTGCCCCACGCTGTGCGTCCTGCACAGTAAGCTCTCAATACGTATTTGCCGGGTAGAAGGATGAATGGGAAGAAGAAAGGATGTACTAAAAAATTAATTCAAAGTGTGAAGCGCGAGAGCCCTTCAGCTCTTAGAAGAACACATAGGGGAAAATCTTCACAACATTGGATTTGGCAATAATTTCTTGATACAACACCAAAAGCACAGAAGACAAAAGAAAAAAAAAAAACAAATAAGCTGAACCAAATAAACGTTAAAAACCTTGGCTAGGCACTCGAAGCTCAGTGGTTAGGGCACCATCCTCAGGCTCTGGGGCTGGTGGGTTCGAACCCAGCCCAGGCCTGTTAAACAAAAACAAAACAAAACAAACAACAACAACAGGTGGTGGGCGCCTGTAGTCCCAGCTACTAGGGAGGCCGAGGCAAGAGGATCGTTTAAGCCCAAGAGTTTGAGGTTGCTGTGAGCTGTGACACCAGGGTATACTACCAAGGGTGACAAAGTGAGACTCTGTCTCAATAAAAAATAGATGAATAAAAAGTTAAAAACCTTCACCCACTGAAGCACTCTATCAATGGGGTGAAAAGACAACTCACAAAATGGGAAAAAATAATTTATAAATCATATATCTGATAAGGATTAATATCCAAAATATAAAAACTATTCCTACAACTCAGCATCAAAAAACCTCAAGCAGCTCAATTCAAAAATGGGCAAAAGAATAAGTATTTTTCTCTGGAGAATATATAAGTAGCCAATAAGTGCATCAAAAACTAGTAGGGAAATAAGAATCAAAACTTCACTAAGACACCACTTCCCACTCATTGGAATAGCCTATCATAAAAATGAAAAAATAGGAGGCATTGGTAAGGATGAGGAGACATTAGCACCCACATGCATTGTCAATGGCAAGGTGAAGTGGCACAGCCACTACAGAAAATCATGTAGCAGTTCCTCAAAAAGTTAAATATAGAATTATAACACAATCCAGCAATTCTACTCCTAGATGTGTACCCAAAGGAATTGAGAGCAAAGACTTGTACATCAATGTTCAGAGAAGCCAAAAGGTGGAAACAGTCCAAGGGCCCATCGATAGATAAATGGATAAATAAAACGTGGTATCCTCATACAATGGAGTGTTACTCAGCTGTAAAAATGGCTGATATTCTGACATGTGCTCTAACATGTGTCAGAACACTGAAGACATTAAGATAGGTGAAATAAGGCAATCACAAAAGGAGAAATGTTGTATAGTTTCACTTATAGGAGGTACCTTGGATAGACAAATTCATAGAGACAGAAAGTAGAACAGAGGTTACCAGGGCTGGGAGAAGGGGTGAATGAGGAGTCAGTGTTTAATGGGTGGAGAGCTTCTGTTTGAGATGATAAAAAAAAAAAAAATTCTGGGAATGGATGGTGTGATAGTTGTACAACCTTGCAAATGTACTTAACAGCATTGATTTGTGTACTTAAAAATAGTTAAAATGGTTACATCCTATGTTATATATATTGTACATAGCATAAAAATGAACATAATGTAAAAATAAATAAATCTATTGAAAAATAAACAAACATGCTCGGTGCCTGTAGCTCAGTGGCTAGTGTGCCAGCCACATACACCAGAGCCGGCAGGTTCCAACCCAGCCCAGGCCTGCCAAATAACGACAACTACAACCAAAAAATAGCTGGGCATTATGGTGATGCCTATAGTCCCAGCTACTTGGGAGGATGAGGCAAAAGAATTGCTTAAGCCCAAGAGCTGGAGGTTGCTGTGAGCTGTGATACCTCAGCACTCTACCGAGGGCAACATAGTGAGACTCTGTCTCCCCCAAAAATAAATACATAAAAATAAATAAATAATTTATTTTTAAATAGATTTAAAAAACAAAGAGGAAGGAAATGAGTATGAGTGAGGCAAAGGCAAGATTTTATATCTCAGCAAATGTTTTAGAGATGCTGAGAAATTCTGGAACTCCTTAGCAAGGAAGAGACTTGTTCACAGTTACACGGGCTTGTGTTTGTGGTAGGGCCAAGATTTGAAGTTCAGCATTTGCTATGAGCGCAGTTGATCATTCATTATTCTGTTTAGAGAAGAGTCATATCTGATCAGCTCAGAGGCACTTTCCATGTTTGTGTTTGTCTTTGGTGAAATAGTTCAGCACTCCAGAGTGACTGGAGGCCCAGCCCCAGCTGAGTTTCTCTCTCACGTTGCTGGCCTCCAGTGACTGGTTAAACAGGGCAAAGACGTAAAGTTTATAACATCTCCCTGCATAGGTCAGCTGTGCTGTATGAAAGCCAAACTCGCTCAGAATGAAGATGTGTTAAGGAATGAGATGCTATTACTTATACATGTAAGAGCATAGCACTACTGATTAACATAGGCACGGAAATAAATTCAGACTTCTACTTTTAGTACATTCATAAAATAACAACTTTTCAGCTGGCCTGTCTACCAAAGTGCTCATTGGGTAGACAGCTCTGCTCAGTAATGAAATGTTTTGATTTGAAATGTAAATGTTTCTTTCCAGAGGTTTCAGAACTCCAGTGTGGAAGGTTAATTTTTCTTGCTTACTCGCTTTACAGCCTGGCTCTGGCAGTTGGAAACCTCTGTACACAGGGGCTGCTATTTGCTGCCGCCAGTAGGGGCTGTGGTGTTTGGTCAGGAATACTGCTCTGGTTGTTCCTTCCAGAGAAAGCCAATCCCTCACTGCTGAATAGAAAAGAAGCTTTATCAAATGTTGACTACACTGAATTACCTTTCTGTAAACGTTCTTTGCAGGAACCAGTATATCCCTCATGTTACCTTAACTCCTGTAGATACTAGTAAGTGAAGATTAGTCTATTGCATGCAATTAGTATACTTCACAATTTTTTCTGAGTTGCCATAGCATTCCTGTAAAATGTTCACTCCTGCCAAAAAACCCCCCAAACACTAAAACAAACCATAACAAAACAAAATCCTTAGTAGTTCTTCATCTGCAAGATGGACAAACCTATTTCTGAGATTTTTTGTAAAGTCCTATAAATCTATGAAGATATATCTCACAATCACGTCAACTCCAAAATGAAACTAATACTAGTTAATTAAAATCAACTATGTTTCTCCTAATCATGAAAACATGCTCAAAAGAAAACAGGTAGCATACACCTTGGGGCTGCTTTATGAATACAGCTTGAGAAAAATTTGGCTTCCTACTTTAAGACACAACTTATATTCAGAAGATTCTATTTTACCTCCCAACTTTTGTGAAACACAAAAAATTGTTTTGTCCAATTAAGATTTTGCTATCTATGGTTTCCCAGTATGACATGTGCACTGAGGCATTCAGAATGACCCTTAGTTAACTTGCTATTTTAGTGGGTGGTCTCAAATGTTAGTCTGTTGCTTTTGGGTATAGCTTTTCAAAGTGAAATTTTGATTACAGATAGAATTAGAAGAGTAAACACTTGCCTACATGTGCTGATAGCTGGAAGATGGCTTGCCACCAGCAGTCATATAGCCAAGAATATTTGTCATCTGAAAATCATGGATACCATTCTTAGAGGTGGACAAACACACATTCCAGAACACTTTCCTGGACTAAACAAGCAGAACCTTTAGGCAGGGGGTGGAGGGAACGGGGATGTCTTGCAGAGTGGGCTGTATCACTGGGACCACACCATAAAGCCAGAAGCTACATTAAAATTGTAGTGACCACTCAGTCTTGGTGTCCCTGGATGAATTTTCATGGCTGCCATCTTTGGTTGAGTCCTAGTAAGTCTAAGGAAACTTCTCAAAATGTTATTACCATTCAGCCATTAAGCTGGCTGAAGAGAGGGTGGCAGTTACGGTTCATTTGACATGTTTACTAGCATGTGCTAGGTGCAACGGAGGATGGGTGAGCAAAGCAGATAGATTCCTGCCCTCATGGAACTTACAGTCTAGTAGGTTTGGGTAAAATAACTATGACAGCCTTAGAGAATATTTTTTGGCTACTAGTCCCTTGGACTTATAGGTTAGAATGAGAGTTAATGGGCTAGCCCAGGGGCTCTACTACACTTGAAAATGTCTCTGTTTCTCATTAATTTATATTTTTAGATGCAATCGAACCCACTGAGCCTGAATCTACATCAGGGAAACTGGTGGCTCATGGACCATGTTTCATTTGTGCGTTGGAAACCAACAAAATCATCCAGATTTTGATTTTTGATTTTTCTTGAAATTTGGAAGTTCCACCAACACTGGGACCTGAATTTCTGCTTGCTGATAATACATGGTAGCAGAACTGTGGCTCACCCCATTAGATGGGCCATTTGTTTTCCAGTTCAACAAAATCCCACTAATCCCCTACACCTTAAATTACTTTGCTCATTGCTGTTCCCTACCTGGCTCCTTTAGACAGATGAGTCTGTGACCCAATCTACACAAATATGTTAGTGGCCAGGCTGTCAACATCCTAAGCACTGATGAAGTAGGGAAGAAGTAGCTAGTTTGAACTCCTTACTTACCTGGAGTAGAGTGAGGGAAAAGCACTGACACTTGTGGTGGGCAGGATGCTGTGTGAGTGGATATTCCAGCTGTTAACTCTGTTCCAAGGCCAGAGAGATGACCCACGAATGCCTTAACCTTGGGCAGAAAAGCCTTATTCTCCTATCCTCATAGTGTAAAAGTAACCCTGCTCTTTCCCATGTTGGCCAGGAGGCCTAAAGGGGCATCCTGGTGTGACCAGTATGGTGTGAGCCACCAACCAAGTGCTTATGCCTCTGAGATCTCTACTATATGATGAATTGCAATGAATGGGACATTCAAGAGAGGGCCAATGAGGGGTCAGCTCCTTCATGAGAACCTTGAGAGAGAAAACTTTATACCTAGTGGTTCTGCTGAATAAAAGATGGAAGCTTGGTTTACACTCTTTAACAACATTTAACAAATTAAAAACAACCCACAGCGACATAGATCTGTATAAAATATAGAATCTCCCACATCCATTGAAAAGCTATTTTGTCACAGTGTTAATGTAAAGCCATGCTTATTCTTCACAAAATAGTAAAAATTCATAAATCTTTCATAATGGAAAATAATACTGGTGGTCCTTTTGGAACAGCTTCACATAGTTTTACAGGGGACTCTTAAAGGAGCAGAAATGGGGAAAAGGGAAATTTTGCCATAGCTCCAGCTTGATTTGGTTGGTTTTACCTTGAGTTTTCATAAGGATTCTTTCAGGTGAACCCTCAAAGCCTCACCTTAGCCACAGTCTGGAAGCACATAAGGCAAAGAGCCTTGGCTGGAGAACAGTACTGCTGGAGGACCCCTAGGTTTCATACGCTTTAACCTGTCCCAAGAGGGGTATGTCTTTCTGCTGGTCTTACCTGGGGCAGCGTTCCTTTCACTAAAGCAGGGATGTCAGCCTTGGTGTAACCAACAGCTTCTAGGCCATCATCAACATCCAGATCAAATAAGAATTTCCGGAGTGAATCTGCCAACACAGGCCCGGCGTCCTGGGTCCTGGCGGTGTGGATGTCAGCTCCTAGAAGACATGAAGCACTGACTGTAGAGAGGAAGAAATAGACTCTGAGAGTAGTTGAGCCACAAGATGAGCTGCATGCAAAATGTTTACACACTGGATCTCCCTAATTCTGAGCTCCAGGCTGGGGCACCACATGCCTCCTTCAGTCAAGGCAGCTGGGGGAGGGGGGGAGCTCAGTTGGCTCCATATCTCCATGGGACTGCTAGTTCCTACATGCCAGCCCCTCATTGGTGGGAGGAAAAGGAATAGAGCCAAGAAAAGAGGTGCAGAAGGAAGACCAAGAAAGAGGTCTGGGGTTTGGATGAGTTGGAATGAACGCCTATAGGGGAAAACAGGGCGGATGCGATGTTCGAGGCTTGGAATCTGCTGACATCTAGAGGTGTATGTGTTCAAGGTCTTTTCTCACAGCAGTGTCTTAGCAAATGGCTCCAGGGGCATCTGATCTCTTACTCTCTGCTGCACATGGGAAGAAAAAGAGTCATCTTGGGCCGCACATTAAATACGCAAACACTGAGGAGAGCTGATGGGCAACAAGAAAAAGAAGAAAAGGGTCTGTGCACAATTTTCCCAATTTCTGGCACTACAGAGAAGCAAGACAGTCCTCAGTCTGCATATGGCCCTTTGTTGGACACCCTCGGACCCTTTGTGAACACCTTGTGAAACGAGGATATAGAAGCACAAAAATTCCAAAATTTACCACCGAAAAGGAAGAAAATACTCTGAAAAAAACGGATTACATATGACCAGGGAGGAAACTATTTCCTCTGTATAGCTATAGAGCTTTTATTTTGGATTCTGTTGCCATAGGGCAGGGTAAGTTCTTCTAAATAAATATTTTAGAACCAGTTAGGCAGAGCAAGAACATGAAG